CCCTGTATTAATAACTCAAAATCGATTTTTGCAACGAGTGACTGGTTTGGCTTGTCTTTGCCACATATAGGATTTATATTCAGAAAACTGCTCAAGGTGTTTTTTCTCCTGGTCGTTGGATACGCAATCAATCATACACAACGTGCTCGATGGGGAGTATTCATAGTAAAGCTCGGTATCCTTAGAATCGCTCACCCTATCGGCGACAGTCGCCGACAGTTGTTGGGAAGGTTGAACCTGGTTCAACTTTGCTAATTACGTTGCAGACGGATGAGGGTGCATTCCAAGCTGCAATGACACATTCAGGAAGGCAACCAAATACGCCTGAAACGCAATCGGCGAAGTTGAACAAGGTTAACCCTTCCGACAACCGTCGGCGACTGCTGCCGATAGGGTGATTCTATGGAAACCGAGCATTATGCATGTAATTCACCTTCTCCCAGGTACCTATTTACTCGTGGGTGAAGAGAGGCAAATGCAGTCTTGCCAATGAACACAAGTAGTGTGACGAGTTGTTTTGGTCGTGAGAAATTTAAACAGGAATTGAACCCAGGACCTGGGATTTGAAGGCAAGCATCTTAACCACCACTTGAGCTATTTAACTCCACTACGTTACCAATGTCTCTACACTTACATTGATAACGCATTCTGTATCTGCTGGTCTTTCAGTAGGTCTATAAATAGATCAACTGCACATCGTCGTGTAACTATTCCATCACCATTTACAAGAATGTTGAATATAAGCTTAAACGTGTCCTTCATATCTAGATCAAAAAACTAATTGAAAATGAAAAATTAGTTTTAACTGATTCTAATATGCCTAAGTCGAATGCGCCTAAGTCGAATGCGCCTAAGTCGAAAAATTGTCAAAGTCGAAATTATTTTCATGTCACTTCATTTTACCTATATTTACAATGGTTAATATCTGCTCTAACTTTAATAAATTTAAGTCCAATAAAAACGAAATTCGAACATATTTTATGTGCCAAATTGATCTGTTTTCCATTAATTGTTAGTCCGTAAGTGGAAGTCAAATTCTTGACGTAAAACTTCAATCATTTTAAGCTGTCGCCGTTTTACAAACATTGCTGTGAACGTCAACAAGCGACTCATACATTTGGCAATGCAGAAATTCACACGCTAAGTACGCCCGCCAAGTGACTCGTGTTTACATTGCATAGCGGTACTTTGTGTAGTTTATTTTACATGTGACTCAACTCACATTCCTCACTATTGTTCAGACATGTGGTAACGTCGACAAGCAACTAATGTTTAAGTACTCTCTCAGGTTTTGTTAGTTCTTTTTTAAATAAAGTAAATTAAATTGTATTGTAAGATACAGTAAATGTAAGGTACAGTAATTGTAAAATAAATATCTTATGGAATTTAGGTATAAGGAATAACCCCGGCCCGTTATATAAAACAAATGCGCTACTGTATTTTTATCTTCATCCCGATCCCGATACAAACTACTGTATCTGCAGAGCATCGCCTGCTCTCCTCGCGATTTTTTAATGTTCCATTTTGCGGCGGGGTATTCACACACGGTTTACTTACGATTAATACATGTGTTGAAATATATATATATTATAGACTTTTCACCTAGTAAGTATTGGTTTGGTCTTTGGGATTTTCCAACTGAATTTATTGTATTTAAGACGTGTTCGCCTGATGGCCATGCAAAAATTAGTTATTAAATGTTACTGTAGTTTATCAAATTGTGACAAGGTCCACGACTTGTACAAGATCCCTTAGGTCAACAACTGATAAATCAGTGCTATTCGTTCCCCAAAGACGTCTCAGAACTTATGGTGATCGAGCATTTGCAGTTGCTGCCCCAAAGTTTTGGAACAGCATGCCCGATTATGTACGCCAGGCACCTTCAACTGGGATTTTCAAAAGCCGATTGAAAACTCATCTTTATAACTCACTATAGACCACTCACATTCGTTCATTTTCGTTGCTCGATAGGCCAATATTTAGTTACACACATCATTATGACACCTGTGAAATCAATAACTGACCGGCCTTGGTCGGTCAGTGAAACGGTGTGATGATGTGTGATTCTATTTTTTATCTGTTTTGTCGGTTAGTCTGTTTGGTTAGTTTAGGTTATTTCCGGTCAAATTTATTTCCATACATTATTCACATATATTTTTCAAGCGCCTCGAGACGGTTTCGATCGTAGAAGGCGCTATATAAATATAAAACCATAAATATAAATATGATTAAGCTTTAATTTAAGTATGGACTGATTCCTCTTTATAATGTATTCAATAGAATGGCATAGAAGCAGTTAACAAAACATTTAAATATACTTAGGCCATCAGCTGTAATCTGTATCTTCCAGTTGTGTCCTAGCAACAGATGGACCAGCTTGTGTAAATCGGTAGAGCATATATTAATTAAGGCTGAGCAAAAGTTTCTCAGACAGTTTCTAATCCAAACGTTTTTAAATTTTTTTCTTAACGAACTATTTGGAAGTTGTCGCAATGCGTGAGTAGTCGCCATTGCAAAAATATCAATGCAAGGATTGATCATGCGACTTGATTTGACCAATCCCAAAACAAATTAAGCTACCATTGAGGGCGTATTATGACAACAACAAAGATGGCGTCCCACAGGAGCCTGGAGGTGGTAAAAAATCTGTAAACAAAGGGGTAAATCCAAAGAATCTTCGCTGTACAATGCATTTTGATGATGTTCCTTCAAGCGGGGTACAACCTTTTACAAAGACAAGATGGAACACATTTAGAATGTGCGCAAAACAATGGAAAGATTTGAAAGGCCATGAACATACTCTGGCCGAGTTGTCGATAGATTTGCTGGCGTGTGAATTTAGTATAGTAGTAGCCTAGATGATGATACTAGCTTACAAATCGGATACCACCCTACGTGCTACAGGTGATTTATTTATTAATAAAAGAAAAATTGAATTTGCTAGCAAAAAATACAAAAATGTGCACTAGCAGAATCATGGACAGATGATAATCTTCCTAAACCTTTGCCAAAGAAATCGAAAAACTGAGGTCAGCATCGTCAATCGAGTTTACCAACGTAATCATCACACACCCAAGTATTAATGAAAGTTTGCATAATATAGAAGTTAAAACGTTTCACTATGGTTCGTCGCAAAAGACAAAGGGATAAGGTATCTCAGGCCGAAACAAAAGCCGCAGGTAAACTTTATTAAATAGAAATATATATAGGCCTAGAATAGCCTACATTTTTTAAGCCTAGGACTGGTATGACTATAATACTATCAAGTTGACCATTATGAATTCCACCATCACCACCCTGGATACTATCCTAGCCTTCATGATTTCTGACCTTGTAATGCATTCCTGCATAGTTTTTTCTTAATTGGTTATCCTAGTTACAGCATGGTTACAGATGCTGCCAATCAATAAAATGTAATACTATGTAGGGGCTAGGCGACCATACAGTTTAATCATGACAAACTCCCTCCAAATGATGTTTCACCCACAAAAAAGTGCAGTATTTGACAAATAAATGTGGCATGATGATATGAATGATTAAAAAGCGTAAAGCTGAATATAATATATCTATCATTAAAATGAATTTTATATTTTTACTTTTGTTTAGGTGTACTATTACAAGCAGCCAAGCTAAAAGCAGATGAGTCAAATTCATGCATATTCAAAAAGGAGATTGAGTTGCCCTTGAAGTCCACTACAGGATTCAACTGTTGGAGTTCTAGAAAGATTTGTTTGTCGACTACATACCGTAAAGATATCTGATGTAAAGTTGCCAGATACAAAGTTTTCTGAACCTCGTCGTCTTTGGAACAGAGTCTTCTGCCTACAAAAGATGCACTTTTACAGCATTGTAAG